ATATAGAATAAGCCTAAATAGGATCTAAAGAGGCAGGGTTACAGAAAACCTTTCTTCTCTAACCATATTAAGCCTCATTTTTTTCTTCTTCCAGTTAAAAGGGAAACACAAGCCCAAATTTATCTTGAGTCACAACCGAAGTTAACATATGCTTATTTCTCTGTGAATTTCTTAATGTGCAGAAACCAAAACAGGAAATGGTATTAAATAAGAATTTCCAGGTAAAATTTAAAAATAAATCCAAAAGTTAAAGTACACAAAAAGGTAACGGGAAAATTCCCATACACATGAAAAAGATTCCTTTTATTCTGCATCCTTGATTTTATCTATAGATTTTAACAATGATTTATGATGTTCTCAATGACCATTTAATAAAACTATGAAATTCATAAAAAACTTGAGAGAAATAAAATTATAAATTTACTGATGCATACAAATCGGAATCTATATTAACTGTCTTGCACAAACAGGAAAATTTTGAATTAATTTTCCACAAAATCATTCTGAAATATTTACACAAATCAGTTTATTTTAAATAAAAAATATTTTTAGGATTATGATACCTATGTACAAAACATGTATTTGTACACTTTACTTAACATTCTAAGTAAAGGTGTCTTTGAAACTTTTTTGCTATTATACAGTGTTAGTACCACACTACATAATAAGTATGTAAGAAATACAAGAGCTCTTCTGCTCAGTACATTACAAAGTCATGTTCAAATGCTATATACATTTTGCCCAGAAGGATTTGAAAATGCTACTTAATGACTTCTTAAGTCACTGGACTGTTTGTTTTTTTTTTAATTTTTAAAAAGGATATTCCTTTAAGGATATGGCTCCTTTAGCAAACAACCCAATTAGCAAATGGACAAAAGATATGGACAGACATTTCACTAGAGGATAAACAGATCGCAGAAGAGCACATGAAAAGATGTTCAACATCATTATTAGTTAGGGAAATGCAAATTCAATCCACAATGAGAAAACCAGACACTTATCACAGTGGACTAACGTAAAAAATGGTGATAACATCAAATGCTGGTGACAACGTGGAGAATGTGGATCACTCATACATCTCTGGTGGGAATGTAAAATGGTACAGCTATTCTGGAAAACAGTTTGGCAGTTTCTTGTAAAGATATGGCTCATTTAAATTGGAAACCTTATCATTTATTTTCTACACGACATAGGTAACTATACAGACACATCCATTTTATTTTAATAAACCAAATGTAATGTAAAGTGGGTGGAAAGACAATGGAAATAGAATAACAGAGAATTTCCAAAACATCTGATTCTGCAGGTTCCTGCCTCTATCATTCCCATTCCCATGATCATTCCTGCATCCTTCTAGGGGCAAAGGTCCCATGGGAATATGGTGACAAAATAACCAGTGACTCACAATAGATGCTGGTGCCAAAATACTTACAGCTATGAGGATACAAAACTTTAAAAAACAATGTGATTCTTGACGGCCTATTTGACTTCCCTGGAGTTACCCCTTTAGGCTGGTTTGAACCAGATGACCTGGATTTGAGTATGCAAGCTGAGGACTCTGGGACCAGATAGATCCAGGGTGTGTTTTGGGCTTTTAATTTTAATTGAGAAACATGATATAAATTTCCCAAAGGGATTCAGAATCCTCTGAGATAGATTAAAGCCTTCTAGGCTATCTCTGGGATGATTAGAATCACTTAAAGTGGAAGAGCCCCAGGGTCCAGCTATGTCTCACCTCAAAGAATTTTAAAATTACTGCCAAACTCCTGGGCTAGATTACTTTTTAAATTAAAGACTGGTCCTCAGTATAAGTGCCTTGCAAAAGGGGGTATTTCTGAAGTTTCTTCCCTCTAACATGAGAGTGTTTGGCGTTCCTAAGATTCAATCTGTTAGTCACCTGCAGTCAAATACACAAAACCTGTGAATAGAAAGGCTTCAGTTGTACCTTCGAAAGTCAATATGTGTATTTATGGATGTGTATCTCTATACAAATAGATATGCAAATATATAAACATACAAAGACTTTAAAAATAAACAGTATGAGGATTCTAGTTCTCATAAAAAAGTAGTCCTTCTTAATCCAACAAAACACATTTCGCTGTAACAAATAGAAGCTGCTCCCTATCAAGAAACACATGTAACATCAAGGACAAAACGTATATGCAAAAAAAGTTGCACTTACAAACACAAAGTACAAATTCATCCCACAAATATGAAGGCACAGAGTTAAGTTCCGTGGGAGCAGACATGTCTTCTGCTTTCAGGGAACTTCTGGTTTGGTGGAGGCTCGCGCAGAGGCAGATAAAAGTAATCATCTCCTTTGTTCAGAGATGAAAAGGAAACAAAAAGGCAGATCAAATCAAAGATGATCTGGAGACTACATTAATCCCATACTGAAGTCATCAACTCACTCATTAGGACCACAGAGAATGCAGACATGGGGGTGAGGGTAGGTGGATAAAAACAGCAGAAGACAATCACAGCATGACATTGTTTCCCCACCTCATTAACCAGCAAAGCAGAAACGCTATTTAAGATACTACTACTACTCTTTGCTAACAACTATTTCCTAAGGTAAAAATGAAGCAGAGAGAAAAGGAGTACGATAGGCACTCTACATTCACTGGGTCTTCAATTTCCTTCCAACAGTCTACATCACTGGTTCTCAATGGGGTGGCGGGGGTGGGGGCGGTGACTTTGTCTCCCAGGGGACAGTTAGCAATGTTTGGAGACATTTTGCCATCGTTAAGTAGATGGATGCTAGTGGGTAAAGGTCAGGGATCTGGTAAACATCCTACAATACATAGCACCCCAAAACAAAGAATTATCTGTCCTCAAATGTCAATGATGCTGAGGTTGAGAAACCATGTCATGGTTGGATATAAAAAAATTTAAAAATCAGTAAGTCTGTAGTATAAAAGCATCTAATACCACTTTAGGAAGGATTGTACAGGAAGATTCTCCTCCTTGATAAGATAGCTACAGATCTCCTAAAATTATCTGATAGACCCATAGTGAGGAAATAAAACATGCTGAGAAATATTAGCATAGAAATTTTTTTAACTTCAATTATTAGCAAACATATGAAAAATAAACTTGAAAGGACAATTTTTTGCTCAATTGATTCTGATAGTCAACGCTTTCTACAACCACAAAAGCAAATGTGGTCATGTTTCTGATTTAGGTCAAATCTGCCAAAAGATTTAGTAAACTGTGTTACTAAAAAAAAGGCCAGACATACTAAAAATAGAAGATTAACTTCTAAACTAATGGAAGAAAAAATTAGCCACTGATTTTTGAGGAGATGCTCAATTCCAGTAGAAAGATATTCAAAGTTATTTTTCCACATTATCCAAAAGATATTTCTCCTTTATTTTGTGGTTTCATGATGAGAAACAACAATGTGGAAAATGAATGAAATAACAAATGTTTAGGTATTAATAATATCACAATTCAGTACATCCTAATACAAAAAGACAATTATTTCCTATGGACATCATACCCACTGAGAAGCAGACTCTGTAAGAAATAGTAAAACAGAGTGGCTTTCATATGACTTTGATAAGAAAGCTTTTAATTGGCCACTAAGCTTTGTAAAAAAGGATGTGAATAACAGAAAGAATGAAAAGAGTAAGATGTTATCTACATAAGGGGATCTGACTTATTACAGTAAACAAAACACCTTAACAAAAATATTTCCAAGTTAATATCTATTACCTGTCTCTGAAATGGACATACATGATAGTAACAGCAAACTTCCCTATAACAGTCAGTTCTTTAATTACATTATTATTTAACAGTGAGTTCTATAACAGTAGGACTTGATGTGATATGATAAAGCCTGACCAAGAGGGAAATACATTATTGCCGCAAATCTAAAAGGAACCTAGCCCCAAAACAGGGAGGGGCAAATAACATGAGAACATGTTGGAAGGTGGCCAACTTGCCTTAGGACAATTTTACATCTGGCCTGAAGCTACTCACAACTCTTAGCTCTTACCTTACTCTACCTTGTTTCTATCAAGTGAGCTTGAAAATGTAGGACTCTCGCTGTTCCTCTCTGTGGATCTCTGGCTCAGTGGCTGAGGGGCAGTCACTAGCATGACTGCACTCCCATCCCCTCTGTCAGCTACCTCACTGCACAAATCTCAGAGAGATGAGTAGATTGGACAAAAATAAGAAAGATACCTGGACAAGCAAAATACCCCAATGAAGGCAATTCTTAAGTCAGCAATAAATTAGGGCACTTTCTTCAAATTAAGCTCTGTCAACTAGGCACTTAATAAAAACAAAAGACGTTTACACCAGCATCTCAACAAGCAAGAAGGATAGAGAAGACAAAAGAAAGGCAAGATTTATATTTACTACGTGTATTTTGTAAAAAATGAGATTTCATACTTTACCCAGAAATTTTTGAAAGAAATGCTATCTGAGAAGGAAAGTATTCTCCTATTCCTTATGAATCAATACCCTTTTTGGTTTTATTAACTAAAATGATTTTTTTCAGTGTTTTTCAATATATAAAGAAAGCTGAGATTTTGGTTAAACAAGGAAAAATTAAGGCAGTGTCTTTAAACCCAATAGGGGAAAGAACTGACTACCAAATGAGCCTATCTAAGAGTCATATTGAGCTCATATTTGGATACAACACTGAACAATTATGGCTTTAAATAGAAAATATTAATGTTTCAAAATTCCACATTTTCTTGGTTATTCTTTCTTTTTAGCTGTATGGACTTCAAATAGCCCACTTCATTTTAAAGAATTAAGGAAACACTTTTCACATCATTTTGGAACAAAACACGAACAGTGCTTGACCCGGAACTATTAACTCAGATAGTAAACAATTATGTTCATATTGGCCCAGTACAAACAGGAGGAGGACCCGTGACTGTCAAAACATGGTTGGAAATGGCTAGCGTCCTTTGGAATTTGCTACAAAACAGAAGATTTAAAAGTTCTGAGGTATTGTTGCCTTACAATCTTACCAAGGTTTAGAATTTTTTCAATGAGGAGTTTTGTTTTGTTTTCAAAAAAAGCAGTGCTTTTTCTCTCGGGTTGCAGAGCTCAGCTCCAGTCTTCTCTCATTCATGGTCGTATTGTCCCTGAGCTTTGTCTCATCTGCACATCACAGCAACCAGCCATGCCTGGTTTCAGTCATTCCGTTAGTGCTACGTCTTGTTATACCAATTCATGGAGCGTTTCACTGCTTTGACCCAGTTTCCCATATTCTTTTCATATTCTTGCCATTTCTTCTGTGGCTTGAAAACTATTTCACTTTGCCTCAGTTTCTTTAGTTCCTCCTTGTCAGTCCAAAACCCTATAGATGAAAAAATTTACTCTCAAGTTTTAAGGCAAATAATGAGTCCATAAAGTTTATCCACAAACCTATGTGAACTGGTGCACAGGTGAACAGTTATTACTTTAAAACACAAGTCAAAATATTTTGTTGCTTTGAGCTTGGTTAGAATCCCTGGGAATAAATACATCAGGATTTAAAAATCTTTTGGTTTCTAACTAGCAGCTTTATTTCTGTGTGGAAGAGCGCCAAATCATTTCTAGAGCAACCACATTCTGCCATCATTTAATTTCATGACTAGCTCTTAAGAAAAAAAAAAAAACCCAAGTAAGAAATAGTAGGGGCTTCCCTGGTGGCGCAGTGGTTGAGAATCTGCCTGCTAATGCAGGGGACACGGGTTCGAGCCCTGGTCTGGGAGGATCCCACACGCGGCGGAGCAACTAGGCCCGTGAGCCACAACTGAGCCTGCGCGTCTGGAGCCTGTGCTCCGCAACAAGAGAGGCTGCCACAGTGAGAGGCCCGCGCACCGCGATGATGAGTGGCCCCCGCATGCCACAACTAGAGAAAGCCCTCGCACAGAAACGAAGACGCAACACAGCAAAAATAAATAAATTAATTAATAAACTCCTACCCCCAACATCTAAAAAATAAAAAAGAAAGAAAGAAAGAAAGAAAGAAAGAGGGGCTTCCCTGGTGGCGCAGTGGTTGAGAGTCTGCCTACCAATGCAGGGGACACGGGTTCGTGCCCGGCTCCGGGAAGATCCCACATGCCGCGGAGCGGCTGCGCCCGTGAGCCATGGCCGCTGAACCTGCGCGTCCGGAGCCTGTGCTCCGCAACGGGAAAGGCCACAACAGTGAGAGGCCCGCGTACCACAAAAATTTAAAAAAATTAAAAAAAAGAAAGAAATAATATACTTTCTTTTTATACAATTAAAAAAAACAATGATAGGGCTTCCCTGGTGGTGCAGTGGTTAAGAGTCCGCCTGCCAATGCAGGGGACACGGGTTCGAGCTCTGGTCCAGGAAGATCCCACATGTCGTGGAGCAACTAAGCCTGTGAGCCACAACTACTGAGCCCACATGCCACAAGCAGTGAAGCCCGTGTGCCTAGAGCCCACGCTCCACAACAAGAGAAGCCACCACAATGAGAAGCACGCACACCGCAACGAAGAGTAGCCCCCGCTCACCAGAACTAGAGAAAGCCCGTGTGCAGCAACGAAGACCCAATGCAGCCAATAAATAAATAAATAAATTTATTTATTTATTTAAAAAACCAAAGCAAAACAATGATAAATTAAGGTTTTTCTTTTTTTTTGGCGACACTCTGCAACTTGTGCAGTATATTAGTTACCCGACCAGGGAACGAACCCGGTCCCACAGCAGTGAAAGCACAGAGTCCTAACCGCTGGACCGCCAGGGAATCCCCCAAGTTAAGATTTTTGTCATATATCTTGAGGTAAGAGGCAACTCCTCAGGATATGTATAAAATTCAAAGTTGGGGATTAATATAAAAAATAGTTTCTTTTTCACACTATTGCATTTCATACAAGGCTTTTAAATTCCAGTTCAAGATAATCTTGTAGTTCTGGCATATATTGTTCTTTACAAAGAGGGTCATGTGATTTATAATAAAAAGCAAAAAGAAAACATATTATAACTACGATCATACATAGCCTGAAATGATAGCTATCCCTCGTTAATAAACTTGGTACATCTCACTTACTCTGAAGTATTAACGTAGTTGACAAGTCTTGAAGAAGGTACATTTTTCTCTTACCAATAAAGCTGACACATAAAATTCTTTCTTCTAAAATTTTCCAGCAGGCCACATTCTATTTACAAAGTCAGTGTTTTAGACTGTCTATATTTAAAGATATTAATTATTTTATGGAAGTTATTAAAAGACTAAAAATAATCTTTATTAGTGTACTACAATTAGATAAATCTAGTCATTAAAATAAGTATGTTCTTAAAATTCTTATTTCCAGAATTTATTATTTACTCTTATTATTTACAAGAGTATGGCATACATACTCTCAAAAGTCACTTTATTAAATGTGTATTGTTTCTGGGTGAATTTTGAAAATACAGAGAATTTGCGTAGCCTTCATGTCTCATATTTCTTTTCTTTTCTTTTTTTTTTTTGCGGTACGCGGGCCTCTCACTGTTGTGTCCTCTCCCATTGCGGAGCACAGGCTCCGGACGGGCAAGCTCAGCAGCCATGGCTCACGGGCCCAGCCGCTCCGCAGCATGTGGGATCTTCCCGGATCGGGGCACGAACCCGTGTCCGCTGCATCAGCAGGCGGACTCTCAACCACCGCGCCACCAGGGAAGCCCCATGTCTCATGTTTCTGAGAGAGAAGTAATCCAACCAGAAATTTCAGATTCTCTGAGAAGGTAAAACTCTTCCCTGTAGTTAGTGAAGTATCTTTGTATTGAAAAGTTTTGAAATTAAATACAGATAAAATGAAGCCACTATGTTATATGTAAGAATAACTTGCATGTGTTTGTTATTTAAAGTGTATTAAATGTTCAAGAGAATTTGACATATTTAGCTTTATAAGGTGATAAGTGTAGATCAATTTGATTAACTTTATAAATAATATTGGAATGCTTATGAGCATTTGGCTTACTGTAATGATAAGCTTAATTTATTCATTTTTCAAGAGTTGTTTAAGTACTGGAGAAATTTCCTTGTTATAGTTCTAAGTTTGCTCAATTAGTCATGTGAAATTATTAAAAATAACATCAGCTATATTGTACTTAAGAGTTGAAATATACAAAGTAACTTAAATTTGTAAACGAGAATGACTATTTAAGGGGAAGTTATTTTCTTCAACTTGAATTAATCAAACACCAATCAATGAACAAATGAAAGTGATTGTTTCAATTTTATTCAAAGTTAACAGATTTTTAGTAGAATAAAGTATAAGGTGAACTTACCAAGATTTGATGCTTTTTGGATCCATAACTTTAATTGCTAAATAACAGCCTAAACTTTTAAGTGTAAGATATCCTGTTTTGTACAAACACTCCTCCCTTCCATATAGGAACACAGGAAAACACTCCCAGTGTCCCAAGCATCATCCTGCTCCTGAAGAGCCCTCTAATTGGCCTCCCCATGTCTGTTCTTTACTCCTCCCAACTAATTAGTGAAAACACTAATTGCCAAAGTGATTTGTTCAAATATAGATCTAACCATGTCCTTCTGCTTAAAATTGTTCAGTGGCTCTCCAATGCATTCAAGATCAAGTCCAATCTCCTCTATATGATTGGACCATGACTGGACCTCTATGTACCTCTCCAGCCTCCCCTCTTGCTCCCATCCTATCAGCACCACAATGGGCCAGTACCTTTGCATGAGCTGCCTTCTCTACTGGACCACTCACCTCTATTCTCTCCTCACCTGGTTGTCTGTTAACCCCTTCAAAATTGAACTATACGTTGTCGCCTCTGGGAAAGCCTACACCAATTGCTTGATGCTGTGACTGTTCGCTGGGCTTATCACACAAGAATAATAATGGGTTGACTTGCTTGACTGCTCCCACTGGAGACTCCCATAGCAGGGACTATATCATTTAAACCCTATTATTCCCAGCAGCGACTGTCATGAAGCAGGTGCTCAACAAATGTTCACTAAATGAAAGAGTGGAGTGGTTTCTAATGCCAAAGACAAGCTTATCTAATCAGAAAGTTTACCCAGAGACATTCCCTTGCTAAAGACCAGAGCAGTTGAGAATTAGCTTTCCTGGCCTCATTCTTCTGACTGAAGGAGAGCACCAAGGAGGGAAGAGGTGCAACCAGGCCCACCCACAGAAGAGATCACGGGAGCATTTTGTGAGTGATGTGCATATGTGTATGGGGTCTAATGGACACCAAGGCTTTCCAGACCCTCTCTATCTATAATTTTGTGATTTGGGAGGAGAAATTCTATCTGTAAGAAATGGTTTTGCAAGACAGCTCTCGTTTTAATAAAACCCACACATACCAACAGCAAGGCCAGCTAGAGAAGCTGCACCTACGCAGGACATATCAACGTGGACGGGTCTATCTATCGTCTCATTAATCAGGTCTGAAGTCATCTGCATGACAAAACTGTTCTTACAAACTCCTCCATCTGCTCTGTGGGGAGAAAGATATTGGAGATAAATTACTGTAACAAAAGCATAAATACATTATTAATTCTTTTCTAAAAAGCCACACATTTTTTTTTAGATCTTTGATTTTATTTTTAAAGTTTAAAGATTCTTATAATACACATATGGGTGCTAAGATCCTCTCAGATTCCATATTGGGTTATATTCTCCTTAAATCCAAAATTAGCTTCCCTTCCTCTCCAAATTCCTATGACCAAGAATTTTGTTGCAAAGCAGGTAAGCATAAGTTCTTTTTGAAATCCTGAATAATCATAATCATGAAAATGCCAACAGCAGCTACCACTTAACTTCTAATTTCTAATTAAATCTATTAGAAACAAAGTTTACCTACCGGATTTTTCTTACAGGAATGTGGATCTCTTTCTGCATCACCTCATATAACTGTTTGTTTCTAGTTAAAAAAACAAGGAAACTATTTACAGGCAGTTCATATCATAATAATTCTCTGTTTTTTTCCAATCTAGAATAATAACTGTGGTTTTATTTACATGATATTTATAAAATATGCAAAAGAAAACACTAAAGAAATATATTAGGCTAACTGGATGTCAGTAACAGATGGTCAAGTAAACAAGAGGTTCAGGGCCTTCTGCTTTTCACTTTGATGCAAAAGAACATAATTTTTATTTCAGAACTAAATTTAATCTATTACCATTCCTGCAAATAAAAATTTAAAGCAAGCATCCACTTAATAGGTATGGATGACACACCATAAATAGCATCTAACAGAAATCAAGTATAAAAATAATGATTTTATAATCAGAGAAAATGTTATTTTAAACATTACAAATGTTCCATTTGTTCCATTCATGACAGCTGCGTTCTTAATTTTAATGAGCTACACCTGCCCCGTAACAAAAAGACCAAAAGAGATATACATAAAGAATAATTTGATGAGTCAATCTTTGAGTATAACAGAAGCATTATTAGTTAGAATTCTCCTTCATGAATAAGGAAATAAAAGACTTTGAAAGTCCAAATTTTGAATCCTTTATGCTTAATAAATTGGCTATTTTAAAAATCATTCAGTTTTCAGATATCAAACCTAAGTGGTACTGGTACTATTAAATGTGAAAAAAAAAGATGCAAAAAAATTAGTAATAAGAATAGATTATATCATATACAGTATGAATTAAACTAAAGGTACAAACAGTTAAAATTAAGAAATTTTAAAATTTAGTTTAGTAGAAATTAATAAAAGGAAATAGCAATACTGTATGGGGAGGGGGGAGTTTCAGGCAGGTTCTGGTACCTGAAAGCTATTGACTCCAATATTGCTCGTACAAGGTGGTATTTATTGGTGGAAGACTTCAAACCCATAAAAGAGGCACATGCACAAGGGTCATTTAATGGAGCCTGAAGTAAAAGACAGTAAGAATATATTATTACTGCTCTAAATTATATCTATAGACTTGAAGGTATATTATACAATAAAAACATAGCCATGTTAGAAAAAAAAGAATGCTCATTTAGAGATAAATAGTTTTAACATAAATGATAGCCCCAAAATGATGTTAACTATTCAAATAACCTTTTGATAGGACTTAAGCAAGGATGAGTCACAGATATTAGACCTATGGGCTGGATCTTCTGTTTGCACCTGTACCAAGAAAAGGGACTGAAGCCCAGAGTAATAGATTATGAAATGCTTAGCTTGATATATGAGGAAAATGGAAAGCAATGCCAGTATTTCCCCTTTTCTCCAACTGTAAAATGTTTACACTGAAATTGTTTACTATGTAGAGTGGTTTTTTGAGGGTATTAAGTTAGACTTAAGATAAAAAAACTACAATGCAAAAAAATGTTTTCCAGTGTCATAACTTACACCCAATATGTTGTCAGACTTTCAAAGTAAACTCTATTTCTTAGCTTAAATAGTGTTTTTTCTTTTATTTTATATATTTTATTTATTTATTTTTGGCTGCATTGGGTCTTCTTTGCTGTGCACGGGCTTTCTCCTAGTTGTGGCGAGCGGGGGCTACTCTTCCTCGTGGTGCACGGGCTTCTCATTGCAGTGGCTTCTCTTGTTGCAGAGCACGGGCTCTAGATGTGCGGGCTTCAGTAGTTGTGGCACGCAGGCTTCAGTGGTTGTGGCTCGCGGGCTCTGGAGCACAGGCTCAGTAGTTGTGGCGCACGGGTTTAGTTGCTCCGCGGCACGTGGGATCTTCCCAGACCAGCGATCAAACCCGTGTCCCCTGCATTGGCAGGTGCATTCTTAACCACTGTGCCACCAGGGAAGTCCTAGGCTGGGTCATTTATGATATTAGGCAATAACACTAAAGAATCTGCCTGCCAATGCAGGGGACATGGGCTCGAGCCCTGGTCCGGGAAGATCCCACATGCCGCGGAGCAACTAAGCCCGTGCACCACAACTACTGAGCCTGCGCTCTAGAGCCCGCGAGCCACAACTACTGAAGCCCGCATGCCACAACTACTGAAGCCCGCACACCTAGAGCCCGTGCTCTGCAACAAGAGAAGCCCCCGCTCGCCACAACTAGAGAAAGCCCAGGCGCAGCAACGAAGACCCAATGCAGCCATATATAAATAAATAAACATTTATTTATTTATATTAAAAAAAGAGAACATAGAGCTGTAGATTTAAAAGAAAAGAAAAGAAATGAAATGACCCTACCTAACATCTGCCTTTAAAAGGCATAATCTTGAGCTGGAATTATGTATTCATCAGATGAAGTTTGTATTCATCAGATGAAGTTTGTATTCATCTTTGTGTAGCCAGAAATGCAAGACGATTCTGGGACACAAAGATGAAACACAAAGATCCCTGTCAGACCTTGCCATCTCACAAGGAAACAGACAGAAGAGTCCCAACACACCTACGCAAGGTCATGACAGAGGGACAGGCTAGTGTTGTCAGGAAATGATGGTCCCCAGAAGCACCTTCCAGCTTCAGAGCTTGACATACCATCTTTACCGGGAAAACTTTCTACCACACCTCCTCCTAGTTAATCCTACTCCCCTTCCAAATTTTGGCTCAGCTTCCTCTGGGAAAACTTCGAATCCCAGAAACTAGGTCAGGTTCCCCACTATCCATTTTTATGGAACCTTGTAACTTCCCATCATATCATGTGCCAGTTTATAATCACATATATTTGTGTGATTGTTGAAACCCCATTGTCTGTGCTACACTGTTAGCATCACAGGCAGAAACTCATCTGATGTGCTCACAGTGTGTCTCCAGGGCCTAGCACTACACCTAGCCCCACACAGGGGATCAATACTCATTTGTTGAATCCATGAACAAATAATACTTTTCCTAATGCCTTAAATGAAGAAATTCTATATTACATCTTATCTTTATCATAGTCATGATTTTCCTCCTTGTGATCTTATCTTTCAAATTTATTTTGAAAGAGAATTTTTCAAACTTATTAAAACATCTTTTGCTGATTCATTCAGTAAAAGCTAAGTTATACAGTAAAGCTGGTCTATATACCAAGTGATATAATACTGTATGACAAAGATGGGTCAGGCTCAGCCAGTTCAATTAGTCCCTAGTAGTATGTGATGGGTTTTTTGTGTTTTTTATGGCTGTGCCGCGTGCCTTGTAGGATCTCAGGTCCCGACCAGGGATGGAACCTGGGCCCCGGCAGTGAAAGAGCTGAATCCTAACCATTGGACTGCCAGGGAATTCCCTTGCTATGGTTTTTTTCTGTGTAAAAATTGCTTCTTCCAATATACCACATAAAATCCTGGTATAATTGGCCTGAAATCACTTTTGTACAAATAGCTATGAACATAATTTACCTTTAGTAATAGGCCAACTTGAGGGGTTATAAATTCCATAGAAACCTAAAAATTTCTTAACAGGTTACAATGTCCCTGCATTTGTCAGTCCAACTGAGTCTCTCTTTGGGATGATAAAGTAGGAAAAACACTGGCAAGGTACTTTTAAGGGCCTGGTCACATCTTGCCAGGGCAGACAGCCTCCAGCCACACCTCCAGTCTATCACTGCCAGGCCCATCAAGTGAGCTTTCCAGAACAGCAGGACTTAGCAAAGTTGTGTGTGGCTCTCTAAGCAAAACCAGCAGACTCCTGCCCGGGGCACAGGCCCTTGTCCCCACTGGAACCTCAGCCTAATCTGCTGGGGACTTGCACAATGGTTAAGGCCACCATGCCTCTTGTCCTTGTCAACCTAGACCCTAAAAGTAAGTTCCTCTGGCTCCAGTTATGCATTCCTGTTGTCAGAATATTTTATGCTCTCCCAGGAAACAGCAGAGCAGTTAAGAACCTGGACTCTGGAGTCCTAAAGCCAGCTCTGTCACTCACTAGCTGTGTGACACTGCCCAAGTGATAGAACAGCTCCAAACCTCAGCTTCCTCAGCTTCAGAATGGGATGATAAGAGTATCTTCTACCTTGTTGAGTGACTGAGGATTAAATGAGACCAACGCGTGTAATGAATTTAGGACAGTGCCTGAGACATAGCGAGTATTTACAGGGTAGCTGCCACTATAATTTATATTTTAATTGTCATTTCTTACTCAAAGCCTTCCCACTATTACTCACTTTCTTCATAACTCTTTTACTATGCCTTTTCAACTTTTCCTTCTGTTGTCAATAAACTCCTCTAACTCTTAAACAACTCTGAGACGTGCCTTCCACTGATTTTGTGGTTGGTTGCTATAACGAGCCTGGCTCTGTGCTGGGCAAATGGCTTCAGCTGCAGCTCTGCAGTGGAAGGTCCACAGGCTTCCATACACAAGGACCAGAAGGACTGTTCTAGCCTCCCATGACCACCGTCAGCCACCATGCATCTGCTGTCAGCAGACACGTCGCCTCCCCCATGTTTGCTTAGGTCCGCATCAATATCGTGCTTTATATCCCTTTACCTTTCCCTGGCTCAGATGTCCCAGTCACGCACAGAACTAGAGGGGGAATTACAGGGGGAGGGGTTCTTAGCAAACTGCTTGAATCCTTGTCTAAAGCAGCCATGTTTCATGCCCTACCACAACTGCAGGGGGTGAGCACAAGTCTGTTCAAGGCTTGAAAAGACAAGGTGGCCCAATCAGATTCCCTCCCCTGGAATCTGAACGAGGAAGAGCTTCAGAGGGAACTGATGCGAAAAGGATGCGCAAGATGGGAAAAGGTTGTTGTGTTTATATCCAAACTGTGAAAAGGCAGAAAGTATAAGGAAAAGAATGACAGTTAAACAGAAGCTATGAGGAAGAAAGGGTACAGAGCAAAGCTGGTAAGGAGAAGGGAAAAGCAGAGCCACAGAGAGGCAGAAACCACAGAGAAGAACACTGAGAACTGCTACGTCAGTTGCCAACTCCTTTCCAATCCTGGTTGCTCAGGAGTGTGTGAACAGCCAGCTCCTCTTGGGCGGGCAGGGGAAGAGAGGGAGGTGCTCAAGCAAGCCTGTTCCTTGCAAACCCAAGAACCTTCACCGGAGCATGACTCCTCATCCACTGAAGACTGGCACTTGGCTCACGGTCCTGCCATCCTACTATGTATGGCCAACATCACAGTAACTTTAACGTCAGGTAGATGACCACTGATTCTTGCCTCTGATACCTGTGAGGGATGCTCTGCTCTAGCATGCCCCTCCCCAAACCTAGACAAAGCCACAATGGCTGCACAAATTGATGCCACTCTGTGTACAGCCCTATGCTCCAGCACATGCCCTAAAGTGGCTGCCCCACAAGTTCCCCCTGTCCTCGAAGTTCCTCCAATGCCCCTTTCTCAGCTGACGCCCCTGAGGCTATTAGGAGCCTTCAATATCCTGCCCCCCATTACCCACAGCTGTAACAATATTCTAAAATTAAAGGCAGTATCACAGATACTTGACCCTTCCTTCCTTCCATTCTCCTAGCCTGCATTTTCTCTAGTTGTTGACGTTGGCAACTTACAGGTGATCTCCCCACTATTTTCTGAACAGCTTTGTATCAACACACTATTGTTGTTTGAATTAACTTTTGGTTTCTAATTAAGAGTTTCATTTTACATCAGGAAATAAGGAGCCTGTGGTCCTACCCCACCCCACCCACTTCAACATACTGCCAGGTTGCAATCATGGCAGGACAGGGACATTTTGTTAGCAACATGAAATTAAAATCACATCTGTGATAATGTTGTCTAATCTTTTGGACTTTAGCAATAGGTTTTTTAAATCACATAGTTTACATTATTTTTACAGGCATATGAACTGGTGGAGAAATTAGAGTTGCCAAGACAGAGTCACAACTAGGTCCCCCAGCACATTTTTCAAAAAGGGAAGAATCCACAGCAACCTAATTAAACCCTCCCTTTGCTGATGACAACTCATCCAACCTTCCTCCTTAAACCTCAATCAGACAAATATTCTTCATTACCTGTCCTATCATGGATGCTATCACTCTGAAGAGGATGCAATGCAACCTCTTTATGTAGTTTATAAACTTTTAGTCCTTTATGATAAAGTATATAGAAAGAAATTATTACAGATATTAAAATAATGCTCATTTAAAAATCTAGTTTGAAAATATGGTATTTTTAGGGATTTAAAACCACTCTGACCTAACTCCTTTTCACCGGGTTCTACATTGTATTATCCAAACCTTTAAATTTTGGATATTTTGTAACTGATTGCTTGAGTATGGATGGACTAGAAGAAAGGGAAGTTTTTACTTTTTGAAAGAAAAAAATATTTAAAGGAGTATTAAAGGACTAATTATCCCCCCAAAAAGGAATTTTGTTTATCATAATATACTTGAAAACAGTTTGTAAAAGTCTTTGTAACACTGTGCTAAAATTAAAGGTAGTATCAACAGATCTTTCAATTAAATACGAAGTTAAATATTACAAAATCAAGTATTTTACTGAGTTCACTTTTTAGTTAGGCAAGGTAACCAACATCCCACATCATAACGGTTAACCAAAAGAAATTCTGTTTTTTTAAAATGTTAGGGACTTGCCTGGTGGCACAGTGGTTAAGAATCCGCCTGCCAATGCAGGGGACACGGGTTTGATCCCTGGTCTGGGAAGATCCCACATGCTGCGGAGCAACTAAGCCCATGCGCCACAACTACTGAGCCCAATGCGCCACAACTACTGAAGCCCACACACCACAACTACTGAGCCCACGTGCTGCAACTACTGAGCCTGCATGCTGCAACTACTGAAGCCTGCGCGCCTAGAGCCCATGCTCCGCAACAAGAGAAGCCACGGCAATGCGAAGCCCATGCACCACAACAAAGCGTAGTCCCAGCTCGCTGCAACTAGAGAAAGCCTGCACGTAGCAACGAAGACCTGATGCAGCCAAAAAAAAAAAAAAAAAAATTAATGAAACTTATAAACAACTGAAAAAAATAAGGTATAATATATACCTTAACATTATTTTTCTAATTCTCAATGGTACACCTCCTTTAACTAAAGAATGCTGATCTATTTTCCCCCACTGGTAAATGGCTATTTTTGGTCATGATAAAGTAACCATGGGTTTTCTGTAAAAGTTCTATAATAAATCTGCCGACTTTTAGTTTTCACAGAGATGGAGTTCTGAGCAGAAGCCAGCAGAATTTGCCCTGCCCTCTCATGGAATTCATGCTAGGTCAAAACACAACTTCTCAGCCCTAGAAAGTACCTTTCACCTCAGTTCTGTTCAGTGCCCACGTTTTCAGATACATAATATTAGGTGTGAGTATGAAGAGGGAAATGTTTGTAATTGCCATTAACTTAAAAAAAAATACCTGCAATCCACTAAAAGATGGAACAAAATAAACTCCTTCAGAATCTTCCAAACTTTTGGCCATTTTTTCAGTTTCAGCAGCATCTGTGAACAGATCTGCAAAAACAAAAACAAACAAACAACAACAACAAAACCCTAAAACAAAACGAAGGGGTTGGGGAGGGACAAACAGAATTATGTTATATGACTAGTATTCACCTGCATCAGCATTTATTATGAATATAATGTGAGAGGTCGCTCACTTAAAAGGGTCAACACAAAGGCAATCTGCTCTAGTGCTATCTGGTCTCCCACTGCAGAGGTTTATGGCCCATGGAAAGGACAAGGGAGACAGAAGACCCTCTTAGATGGGCTCTGGATATAGCAGGCCTTACTTTTTTCCTTTAAAGATAATTAGGCTGTTTAAGAATCAATTCTATGTGTTTTTTGGCATTAAAAACTTTGTTCTCCTAAAGATTACACCCATTCTAGTTTTCTGATGAAAAGACATATAACAACCAAGAGAGTCAACTGAAAAACTATTCCATCTAAGGAGTTCAGTAAAGGGTCAGTAACACACAGATACACTAAAAGTCAATCTTTATAAAACAAACAAAAAATCAAGATCTAATTTATGTAGTATACTTTTTTATTGAAGTATACATATAGGAAGATGCACAAATGCTAAGTGTACAGCTGGATGAATTTTCACAGTGTGAATACACCCAGGAAACCAACACCTAGGTCAAGATACCAACTTCTTTTGCTCAACATCATGTTTGTGAGATTCCTTTTGTTACAAGTAGTTGTACTTCATTCATTCTCAGGCCTGTATAGTATTCCATTCTCACCATACACAGTTCATTCAATTATTCTACAGCTGATATGCACATGGGTAGTTTCCAGTTTTGGGTTAATATAAATAGGCCACTTTGAACACTCATGTACCTTCTTTTTGGTAAGCATATCTATATATTTCTGTTTGTTATATACCAAGGGATGGAATTGCTGGTCCTAGGATCTTCACATTTAGGACTAGCTTTAGCAGATATTGCTGAATCGTTTTCCAAAGTGGTTTTGCCAATTTAAAGCTCTTGCCAGGCATATGAGAGTTCCAGTTATCCCATATTCTTGTTAACAATTGATACTGTCTATGGTTTTCATTTTCACTGTTTGGTGGTATTGCACAATAACTTGATTTTGTATTTCTCTGTTGACTGATGAAGTTGAAATCCTTTTCATTGGCCATTTGGATACCCTTGTTTGTAATGTGACTCCTGAAAAAGCATGTGAGACTGACAGCATAGTTCAGATGCAAAAGATCAGGAATTGGTCATAATAAATATTGCTGGCCTTATACAGTAATACTTAAGTTGGTTTTATTTTCTTGTGTGTTTTGTTATTCTTATAATGAAGAACTGATTAAAGACAAGATGTTTAAGGAACACCTATGATAAAACTATGGTTAATGAGGATCGTTCAATAATTATTACAAATTTTACTCAAAATGACAGTTATCAGATCCATAAGTTACATTCATTTGTTCAAAATGTCCGATAACACATCAAAATAGACAGCACTTCAAAAACTAATATATTAAGAAGAAAACACTGATCTTAAAATCTATACTTTGAAGAAATCACGTCCAAATGTCTAAATTTTTCAACCAAGATGTCGAAAACATACTAGATGGCTGGTTTGAGGAAAGTTTTTGGTAACAGACAAAGAAACAGGGGGAAGAAAATCTAGTTTGTCCACATTCTTTACTGGTTGTTCTGTCCTTGCTTGAAGAATTTCTCTAAATAATCTTCTACCTAAAATGCTCACCAATGAGCTGATTAATGGAAAGGCCTGTGGAGTAGGCAGACTTCACTCTCTCTCTCAGTGAATGCAACTAAGAATCCTGGATGGAATACACAGAAAATCTATCTGAGGACTCAAAAGAATAAGCTAGCGGTCCAACCAAGGAACTCTGAGTACCACCAAACCAGCAGTGAGTTTCCTGTTTTTTATTTTCTCTGATATCTCCTGTCCTAGAATCAGGGACAGCCTGAAACCTGAAACTTGGGTCTGTACACCAGGTACAAATATGAAAAGCTTCTGAAGAAGCCCCTCTTTTTGGTCTGAGGAGTGAGAGTCAGGGGTCTCCACAGGACAGAGAGTGGGGAAATGATCCTGTTGTTTTTGTTTTTTGAATGTTTTTTCATTCTACCTAAATGAGAGAGAAAAAACATTGTATCTTCATGTTTTTGCAAAAACAAATAGGAAGGATAAACCAAAAACAAATGTAGTGATTATCTACAAGAGGTAGGAAGACAGGGTGAAGGGAGAGGAGAGGGAGTCAACTGCTCCTTCTTTTATGAATTTGACTTGGAAATCATGTTAAAATTCCACATTAAAAAAATGTTTTTAAAAAGGATGCAGAGGGAAAAAAACTAAAAATGAATGGTAACAGAAACAAATGAACCCAGTTCTTTTCAAATTAATAAACTCACCGAAGGGAGAAGAAAAAGAATTAATCTAGGTAATTTGAATAGCATGCTTGGACCATATATCCTTAATATAAAGAAAAAACCAACAACAACCCTGAACATTGTTTGTTGGAGTGGTATGGGTCTAGTAACTCAAACTCTTTGGTGTATATTTTAAGTCTGAGCAAATAAGTACATAATATTAATGTTGTTGGGAGCCAGGGTTCTCGACGTGGAAAAAAGGAAGACAAAAATATAGAACAGGGACCCTTCTCACACACACTCACACACACACACACACACACACATTTCCAGCTCTGCTACAAAGGAATTCCAGTCATTGTTCTTATATGTGTTTTAATTTTTAATTTTTTTTAATTTATCAAATTGTACATTTACTTATTGGCTGCACTGCATAGCTTGTGGGATCTCAGTTCCCCAACCAGGGATTGAACCCGAGCCCTCAGCAGTAAAAGTACAGAGTCCTAACCTCTGGACCACCAGGGAATTCCCCCAGTCATTGTTTTTATTTTTTTAATAAATGTATTTATTTATGTATTTATTTTTGGCTGCATTGGGTCTTCATTGTTGGGTCTTAGTTGCTGAGCGCGGGCTTTCTCTAGTTGCAGCGAGCGGGGGCTACTCTTCATTGCAGTTCGCGGGCTTCTCATTGCAGTGGCTTCTGTTGTTGCAGAATTTGGGCTCTAGGCATGCGGGCTTCAGTAGTTGTGGCACGCGGGCTCAGTAGTTGTGGCTCGCAGGCTCTAGAGTGCAGGCTCAATAGTTGCGGCACATGGGCTTAGTTGCTCCGCAGCATGTGGGATCTTCCCGGACCAGGGCTTAAACCCATGTCCTCTGCATCAGCAGGCAGATTCTCAACCATTGCACACCAGGGAAGTCCCTCATTGCTTTTAAATACCATTTCCCACTGAAAGGAGGCAGGGCTCATTGGAAAAGTAGCTAATTCCAGGGCAGGGATACAAAAAACACAAGATGAGCTTAAAACCATCTTGTGCCAGAAATTAAGAAAGAGCTCAAAAATAATACAGATAGACACTTCAAAGACATAGAAGCCAGTCTGAGGAAGTTTTCACTGGCCAAATCTGGGGCTATTTGAGCATGAAAAAAAAATAAACAAATAAGAACTGTAAAAATTATAACCTGCTGAATAAAATAAGAAACCATGAGTTTATACCAATAATAAATTAACAGAGGAGAAGGGAAAGCTCTTCCTTATATAACAGAATGCTAACTAACAAACAGAGGGAAAAATGGAGTTAGAAAGCACCATTTTGCAACTATCAGAGTGAAGACTGATCCAGGTAGGAATCATCAATGAAAGCTAAATTTAGGGGATGGGGGAAGTTTGGTGAGAAAAGGGGTATCTAGCTAATCTCAAAGTATCTCGCCACATATTATTTATTACAAAAAAATGGTAATTATACAATGGAGAAATCAGAAAATATCTTATGCACTTGAACAAAACTGACAGAACCAAAACAGGAGTAAGAGGCACTTTGCATCTCCAGGTATGTATTCTGAGAAAGACACATTATCACTTATGTATAATTTCAGTCCAAACTATATAACCTGGATCTAGACATGAAACACCCAAATTGAGGGACATTCTATAAAATAACTGACTTATATTCTTCAAAAATGTCAATGGCATGAGAAACAGAAAAGTTGATGAAACTGTTCTAAATTAAAGGAAATTATATAATAAGCAATCCTGAACTGGATCCTGTATTGGAAAAAAATTGCCATGAAGGACAGGATTGGGACATCTGACGAAAGTATTGTACCCACCGTTAAATTTTCTGAAGTTAATAACCATACTTTAGCAATGTGAGAGACTATTCTTGTTTTTAGGAAATACATAGTGAAATACTACAGGGAAAGAAGATGCATGCAAGCTATTATCAAAGAGCTCAGAAAATTATATAGATATTTATCTATCCTATAGCATATTGGATGGATAGATGGATGGGTGGGTAATAGATAGATAGGTAAAGCAATTATGGCAAAATGTTGAAACATAGGGATAATCTGGGATAAAGGGTATACAAGAATTTTTGTACTATTTTTACAAGTTTGAAATTATTCCAAAACAAAAAGTTAAAACAGTTCTCATTTTCTCTTCTCTCTTTCTCCACCCCCCCACATATACGTATATAAACTCACTGAAACGTATATAAGGGTAACTTAGATATGTTTAAAAGAGATTTAGTTTATCAATCTACCTTTTATGATTTGCATACCTTTATCATTTTTGGCTTGGAAATTTAAAATGCTTCTCTTAATTTGCATATTAATAAGCATTCATCATTTTCATCTAAGTACTAATTTTTACAGAATTATAGTCATTTTCTTTATTTTCTGGACACTATTAAATTGTGTTTCAAATGTTTTCCTTGGCCCTATGCTACTTAAGAAAAGACATTTCAATTTCCATGTGGCTAAGTACCATTTAAATACTGTTTTTACTATTCATTTCTAACTGTATTACATAACAGGCTGAGATGTTCCACTCTTGTTTTTTTGTGTTTGTTTTTGCGGTACGCGGGCCTCTCACTGTTGTGGCCTCTCCCGTTGCAGAGCACAGGCTCCGGACGTGCAGGCTCCGCGGCATGTGGGATCTTCCCGGACCGGGACACGAACCCGTGTCCCCTGCATCGGCAGGCGGACTCTCAACCACTGCGCCACCAGGGAAGCCCTGTTGTTATATATTTTTAATGTTTATGTATTTATTTATTTTTGGCTGCGTTGGGTCTTCGTTGCTGCGCCCAGGCTTTCTCTAGTTGCGGTGAGCGGGGGCTACTCTTCATCGCAGTGCATGGGCTTCTCATTGCAGTGGCTTCTCTTGTTGTGGAACGCAGCCTCAGTAGTTGTGACGCATGGGCTTAGCTGCTCTGTGGCATGTGGGATCTTCCTGGACCAGGGATCGAACCTGTGTCCCCTGCATTGGCAGGCGGATTCTTAACTATTGTGCCACCAGGGAAGCCCACTGTTGTTATTTTAATCTTCTGTTTCCTCCATGACATCTGCCTCTGTGGGAGCCACATGCTGTGCTTTATCAAACTTGGTCACCCTCCTTCAAGGTACTGGATGTTCTTGAATGCTTTGTGCTCTCCTTCAGGTCAGGCTTATGGGGTTGGCAGGCAGTGAGACGTAAGGGAATGAAGACCATTGGCTCTCGGGTTTCTCAAAGTATGAGAAAGATTAGGCCTCTCCACTTAGTCTGGAAGAGGAACAATTCAGACCAATCAGTACTGACGTCCACTGTTATCAGGTTCTCCCAGGAGTGGGGAGGTCCAGCTTTTCTCCACATCTGAGGGGATTTTCTCTTGGCTCAGCAGGCTCGATCCATAGAGAACATCTACAGGGTCCTCACCAGCCTCTGGTATTTTCACCAATAACACCCAGTTGGTGCCCTCTACAGACCCTGGGTCTGCACAGTCTCCTTGACAACTCAAGGTTTCGTTCATGGCTGGGTTCCACTCCAGCTGCAGCCATATTTATCTTACTGTGTGTCATCCCAGCAGGAAGCAAGAGGGATGCAAGACCATGAACAAAAACCCTACTCACTAGCAATAGCATGTAACCATTCACCACCACCTAATTAGTTCCTAGATGAGAGAATGTTTATCTCATTTCCTCTAATGAGAGAGGCTGTTATCTCTCTTCGGAAGAGACCCAGAGAGAAGAAATCAGTTTCCTTTATTTCTAGTAAACAAGAGTCCTGGGTAATTTACAATGTATACTGGGAGTCTGATGGGGCTTGCCTGGAGCAGGCAGATGTGACATGTAGCAATTAAAAGTGGAATTGCTAGGGAAAAGATGTCCCCTGACCCGAGTTACCGGAGGACAACAGAGATGGGAACTGTCTCAGTTGTAGAAAAGAAATAGGGCGTTCTTTCAGTTCCTTAAGTAGGCCTTGCTTCTCCCTTCTCAGGGCCTTCTTCAGTGGTCCTCTCTGCTTGGGCTGCTCCTTGACCAAGTGCTTCTCCCATCTGTCCAACCACTCTTGTTCTTCCTTCAGTCCTAGCTGAAACACGACTTCTTTTTCTATTTTTTTTTTTTTTTAGTTGCAGATGACTTTTTAAAAAATACATTATTTATTTATTTAATTTATTTATTGTTTTTGGCTGCATTGGGTCTTTGTTGCTGTGCATGGGCTTTCTCTGGTTGCGGCGAGCGGGGGCTACTCTTCATTGCCGTGCGCCGGCTTCTCATTGCAGGGGCTTCTCTTGTTATGGAGCACGGGCTCTAGGCACGTGGGCTTCAGTAGCTGTGGCACACGAGCTCTAGAGTGCAGGCTCAGTAGTTGTGCAGCATGGGCTTAGTTGCTCCACGGCATGAGGGATCTTCCCAGGCCAGGGCTCGAACCCATGTCCCCTGCATTGGCAGGCGGATTCTTAACCACAGCACCACCAGGGAAGCCTGAAACATGACTTCTTTAAAGAAGCCCTCTGATTCCCCAGACCAAACAAAGCACTCCCTTTAGAAAGAGATCACTGATTCTACCTCTACTTCTCTTTCCTGGTACTTAACACTAATTTCTTTTGTTTTTTTCCATTATTCATTAATATACATCTTTCCTGCTAGACTATAACCTCCATGAGGGCAGGGAGTGACTGTCTTATCCACTGGTGTCTCCTAGCATGTACAGGTCCAGGTTCATACTTAGCACTTAATTACTTGTTAACTGAATAAAAGCTGGAAGACATAGAAATATTTCTAAGATTGAGATAGCAAAATAGGGAACAAAGAGTGAAGGGGAGCCGAGATGGACCAGATGAAAAGGAAAAAGAGATGATCGCATAGGGACTCAAGGGGGAAAAAAGTGAGAGAATTGGCCTGTGTGAAAAAGATTAAGAAAATAAATCTGAAAGTCAAGATGAAAGTGGTTTAAAAGAGCTTTCGTGCCTGAGCTCAACTGAGGCATTCAACCCAGTAAAGGGGTAGGAGGAAGCCACCATTCAGAGTGGAACAAACCCAGCATGTCACACAGACATAAATGCTCACAATACACATCTTCAAGGAAATGACAGGGTCACTCAGGCTCTTATGCACTGTGTTTCTCCTGAACATAATTCAGTTATTTTCTCGATATACTCATTAAAGTGAATTCTCAGAACAGAAAGAGATATATTCAAATAAAGGTCAGCTTTTTTTTACATTTCAGACAGATGTATACCAGTAATGTTTAGCTCTGCCAATGACTGAATTTTTTTTTTTTTTTTTTTTGCATTACGCGGGCCTCTCATGCTGTGGCCTCTCCCGTTGCGGAGCACAGGCTCCAGACGCGCAGGCTCAGCGGCCATGGCTCACGGGCCTAGCCGCTCCGCGGCATGAACCCGCGTCCCCTGCATCGGCAGGCGGACTCTCAACCACTGCGCCACTAGGGAAGTCCGATGATTGAAAATTTTAAGTCAGTAATTCAACTCTGAACTCTCTCTCTCTCTCCAGTCAGACAAATGGTCCTGCTTCCTGCCAGAGATGGGACTGGTCTTTAGGAGGGGCTTATGCGTCCACTGGAAATCACACCGCTTTTCTAGGTCAGGGCCATTTAGCTCCATCCCCCAGAAAAGAGTTTTCATCACTTGAGAATCACAGTGAATGAGCCCCAACCCAGCAAAGCAGTGGAAATGATTCCACCTGATAATGTGTACATGATGTCAAAGGAACTTGGGAAAGATTTTTTTTTTAATGAGGAATGTGAAATTATTCTGCTTTTTCTTTGCACTTTTTTTTTGGGGGGGGGGAAGAAGTAAAATTAATAAAAGGTATAACTAAAAGAGAAGAAATAGGTAACCTATATTTTCTATTTCTGATAATTCTGAGTTGACTAAAGATACATGTCCAAAAAATTAAAAGAAGTACATTTAAGGAAGAAAAGACTTTTGAGTGATAAAAAGCTTCCAAATAAACAATTTGTTGTTGTTGTTAATAAGTAATCTTATGATGATAATGCAGGTGCAGGCTTATAGAGAAAGAGAGAAAGGAAGAAATGGATTGGCATTTTCCTCCTGAAGTGTATGTTTTCTGCCAACAGAATTATCTTTGTCTTTAAACAAATCAGTTTAGTTCAAATCAGCAAAGTAGATAGTAGAGCCCCTCACAATTTAATCATCAGAGATAACTATTGTTAATACTTTGGTATGTAACACTACATACTGTATGCATTAAATATGGTTATATAATATATAGGCTCTTCATTATTCACAACAGCCAAAAAGTGGAAACAACCCAGATGGCCATCAACTGTTGAATGGATAAATGCTGGTTCATCCATATGGTGGAAAATTATTCAGCAATGAAAAGAAATGAAGTAATGATACATGCTACAACATGGGTGAACCTTGAAAACATTACATGCTGAGTGAAAAAAGCCAGTCACAAAAGACCACATATTGTTTGATTCCATCCATATGAAATATCCAGAATAGGCAAATCCATAGAGACAGAAAGTCGATTAATGGTAGCTTAGGGCTGGGGGGTAGAACAGGGAGTCACTGCCAATGGGTAGGGGGATTTCTTTTATGGAGAACAAAAATATTCTAAAATTAGATTGTGGTGATGGCTACACAACCCTGTGAAAATACTAAAAAATACTGAATTGTACACCTTAAGTAAGTGAATTATTTGGCATGTGAATTATATCTCAAAAGGCTGTTTTTAAAAAAAAGCAAAAAATATTCATACAGGCTGTTCTGCGACTGCTTCATCCCTTCCTTAATGTATCACAGACAATGTTGCATGTCAATAAGATGTGCAACTACATGGTTATTTGTGACTACAGTATTTGTGTTATTTGTACAGTGTTCCACTATATGGATGTACTGACATTTACTTACTTAATGCTTTATTATTAGACAGGAACTTACTTCCAATTGCCGTGTTAAACACCCATGTATGTACACATGTCTTTGCACACCTGTATGATTATTTTCTTAGGAAACAAAGAATAGACCTGAGGGCCAAGGGTCTGTACTCTATAAAATGATACATGTTGCCTAATTGCCCTCCAGAAAGGCCATACTAATTAACAATCATCCCAATGGAAAACAAGAATACTTTTCTCTCTACGTTTCCATCAATGCTGAGCATCGTAGAACTAATTAATTTCTGACAATCATAGGAGACATCAATTTTTAAATGTGTATTTCTTTGATTATTGAATTTAAACAGCATATTTTAACAGTCACTTGATTTAAAAAATACCTATTCCTCTGCCTTTTGTCCAATTTTTTGGTCATCTTTTTAAATTTTTCTAACATATGCTACAAATTGTCCTTACCAGTTTGTCTTTCAACTTTGCTACAGCATCTCTCCCTACTCGTTCTAATGTTTTCTATACTTACATCTATTATTCTTTTTCTTTATGGTATCTGGCTTTAACGCCTAGCCTTTTACCATCCCAATGTCATAAAAATAACATGCTGTATTTTCTTCTAGCACGTCATTTTATTTCGTTTCATTTGAATCATCCATTCGTGCTGATCTGTAATCCTGTGGCTTTCCTGAGTTATGTCTGGCCTATGAAATCTGTTGAAACAGATGACTCACCTAACTGTTGAGCCCACTGTATGGCAGTACCGGTGTCTGCTGCATTGCCTTCAGCTAAGTACACCACTTCTTGCCCAATCTTCCAGCCAATTAATGGATAAAAGCCTTAAAAACAAATAAACAATATAAGTCACACAATAAATAGTGAATTCATTACAGAGAAGTCTACAGTGGAACAATTTGATTATCTCAAAAAGTAGCAACATGCCTGTGGAGTCAGACTGCCTGAGTTCAAATCCCAGCTCTCTCTCACTTTCTAGCTGTGGTCTTACAAGTTTCTAGTTTCTTAGTCTCAGTTTCCTCGACTGTAAAGTGGTGGTCTACCTCAGAGAGCTTCTGTGAAAATAAACTGAAAAAGGACTTAGGGCAGTGCCTGGCATAGAAAAAGAACAATAAATATTAGCTTTTAGTAGCTACAAGCATATCTATGTCTCTAGAAACACAGAAACAATATTTTAATTGAGAAATTAAAGGTTATTATGAGATTGGTTTGTCAGACAACTAACCATGTTATTGCATTTATCAGTAGTTTCTAATTTTTTTTTAACTCTTTATTGAATTTGTTGCATTAGAAGGCGAAATCTTAACCACTGGACCGCCAGGGAAGTCCCCTATCTGTAGTTTCTAAACAACGTTCCTAAATAGAAACAATGATCATTCTTCTGTTTTTTTTTTTTCATTTAATTTCATTTTTATAATGATCATTTTTCCAGCTTTCATTTTCCCAGTTAGGGAAAAAGGAAGAACTTTAGCGGGGATGAAAGGCAAGAAAAACATTTTTAAATCCACCTCTTAGTAACCATGTTAGGAGACCAGAGCTCAGACTAAGAGCCCCAAGCTCTCCTGGGTGTAGTTACACAATCTAAATTTCTTGGTTTGTGCATTCCAGGATTTCCTCCATTAGAGAGAGCAAATTCTTAGCAATTGTCATTAAAATCCTAAATATGCACGGATCACTACTTGAGAAGTACCACCGCCAAAAAGTATCACAAAAAGAAGAAATTCTAACACATAAGAGAAATTTTAGAGGCCTAGAAAGATGTTTTCAACAAATATAACATGTATTATAGGTAAATATTTGGAAAGCTGACCAAAATACCCTAGTCTTTCTGAACTTTTCCCTAAAATCTTTCTCATTTTCTAGTGCTTTTAATTTAAGAAAAAAGGGAAATGGGGATTAACTGTCTCTAAGAAGAATGATGAAAAATATTAGACAATATGCTTAATATAAAATAAGAAAATAGTGTCACAAAAGTTAAACAAGTAAAAAGAAGGGATATTTTATTAATAAATAGGATATATTCTAACTACCTACCTCCAACACTCTGTTGAGGGTTATTTCCAGTATTAATATCCAAAAATGTCCCAGTTCCCATGGTTAACTTCACATCTCCTATCTGGAAGCAGCATTCTCCAAACATGGCTGATTGCTGGTCAGCAACCTGCCAAAAACATTCAAATATAAGACCCTGGGCCCTTAGCAGTGTTCCTTTTCACTGTATCCCACTGTCTTACTTATTGTATTCTCATGGTTCACCATTTTATTTCCTTTTCCTTAAAAAAAGGAAAGAGAGAGCAACAACTATATGATAGGAGTCTCTCTAGGACTAACGTTATGGGGATAACTAACGTGTCTCAGGAATTTTCAGCAGTCTAGCTATTTCATCACTTTTAAGTATCATAAGAATAATCTTAGAAATAAAAGTCAGAATAAAATTTGTCCAGAAAAAAAAAAATTTGTCCAGAAAAAAACAACTAAGATCGTTCATTTGCAGCTTGCAAGCATTTTCATTCATTAGTCAAAATAACTGGCCACACAAATTTCTCTTTTAATAAGAGAGATAGGTGTATAAGTAGATGTAGGTTAAAACTATACATTTCCCAAACATACATTTTTGTTAAAAAAAATTATAACTTTTTTTTTTTTTCCCACATGTCATGGCTTGCAGGATCTCAGCTCCCCAACCAGGAATTGAACCCAGGCCATGACAGTGAAAGTGCCAAATCCTAACCACTAGACCACCAGGGACTTCCCTATAACATTTTGTTAATGTAACTACATGTAGATATATATACAGCAATATTTTAAGGACCAAAACTCATCTGAAGAATGCTTTCTCACTAATCTATGTCTTCTAGCCATACCTTAATCTAAACCTGAGCCTACCCTGAGCTGAATAAGACTGATCCTCTCCAGGAATTTGTAACTTGAGAATTTAATTCCCCTCCCCTCACTTGATTTCTCCACCTACCATAGTGACTGTCCATCTAGGGACAGATGCTCTATACCTCCTGTTTAAGCTGTTACAGGAAATTAAAGGCAAGATCTGAGTTTCTATAATCAAGAAAGAAACCTCAAAAATCAGAAACAGCTAATTTTTCACTCATCCACAAATTCTTTACCAGCTAAGTAGATGCTGATGAAGGATTTTATAAAATGTAAATATATTTCTTCTTTACTTTAATTGCCCTATCACGGTTTATCATTATACTATATCATATATAAACTAAGCATTGGCCCCATCACGGTTTTTTGTCTCAGAGTATTAAATACAAGCCACACATTACTCAAAATACAACATTTAAAAAAAATTTTAACACAGTTTTCTGAAAAACTATATATAGAGAAGTCAAAAAGGTTATAAAGTATTTCCATGATAGAACACTGGCCATGGGTCCCCTTTCCAGAAAGTGGAGAACACTTCTGATTATATTGAGAGCCCTTTAAGTTAAAAAGAAAAAAGATACTTTAACTTTATTCTGCAAGGACTTTTTTGTTTCTTAAATCTAATCCTAACTATTCATATACATTCATTTAGTTTATACTATACAAGGAGAAGCCCTCAAGTTTTCTACTTACCAAGGCCATTACTGGTATAGGCACGCCAAATATCTCTTCATCCACTGATCCAAAATTGTGGCTTCAAATAAAATTGGTTAAAAAGTAAGTTATAAATCTAGAAATATTAATTCTAAAATTCAGCAAATTGTTTTTAGCATAGGCCAAAAAGTTACATAATGAACATACAAGCACCTCAAACGTGTAATAAGATGCTTTTCCCCACACAGGCCAGGTGAATTCAAGGACAATTTTGCTGGTTTCTATGTCTGATTTTCATTATTACCTTGTATCCTTCACGGGAGGCAGCAGAAAGAGCGGGATTGAAAGCAGGGAGGTGATGAGCTTACTCCAACACATCTGAGCACAGAAACATGTCATCAGAATCCAAGCTAAATTACAGAAAAATTGGTGACTCAAAAGGAAGGGAAGGGGCTTTCCTGGTGGGTCAGTGGTTAAGAATCTACCTGCCAATGCAGGGGACACGGGTTTGAGCCCTGGTCCGGGAAGATCCCACATGCCAGGAGCATCTAAGCCAATGCACCACAACTACTGAGCCTGCGCTCTAGAGCCTGCGAGCCACAACTACTGAGCCCACATGCACAACTCCTGAAGCCCGCACGTGCCTAGAGCCCACGCGCCTAGAGCCCACGTTTTGCAACAAGAGAAGCCACCGCAATGAGAAGCACGCACACCACAAGGAAGAGTAGCCCCCGCTCGACACAACTAGAGAAAGCCCGTGAGCAGCAATGAAGACCCAATGCAGCCAAAAGTAAAATAAATAAAATAAATAAATTCAAAAAGAAAAAAGAAGGGAAGAAAACTTTACCTCATATGGGTCAAAAAGTCCAGTTGTACTGGCATTTGAAAAATCTGTGGCAAATTCAGAACCTAAATTTATATTGGAAACGATTTATTTATGATCAGGTAGTATAAATCAACACCTATCCCTAGTTTATAGTCTCGACCTTTTTCTGCCCTCAAATTCATTACAAAATGTGTATTTCCAGTGCAAAGTCTCCAAAGCAATTTCCCACTAAACCTTTTTGAAATTTTATACTTTACAAAAGCACTTTCAGGCACATTTCCACATCATGATTCCCAGTTTAAAGATGTGGAAAGGGGCTCAGAGAAGCAACGTGATTACCTATAGCTATACTATAGGTATAGTTGTAAAGTGGTAGATTAGGAATTGAACTCAAGTCTTACCACTCTCGAAATTATGACTGTTCCTCGGTCTTATGTTTGTGGTTTCATCACAATTTTAAAATCACCCTCCTCTTAGAATAAATCTGAAATTAATCTAGCTTTAGTATACTATGAAGCAACTACAGTACCAAAGAAACAGTATATCTGGGATATGGGGGAAAAAGTTTCAAACTTCCACTTTTTTCAGATAAGTCATTTCTGTCAGTCAAATTCCACTTACTTGAGATACAGATCTATCAAATCATCTTTACCTTTTGTGAGCTTATGTAACAACCAGGTATCAATAGTCCCAAAGCAGCAATTTTCTTCTTCAATTGCCTTTCGCACCTTGAAAACACAACAGCACAAAATCAATTCAAAAGGCTAAATTATTAAGTGCATGACTAAGTGCCAACCACTAAATACAATATAATCCCATTTTTTATAAAAATTGATACATACATAGAGAAATAATTTCTAGAATTTACCCCCAATGGTCCTAAGCAATTACTATAGGGTATGAAAGGCTTTAGTTTTACACCAAGAATGTTTACTTTTGTGATGAAATAAACAAAGTGTATCTCTTTTTCAGTTTAGATATACAAATATGTCTAAATATAGAAAGTCTAAAATGGGATGGCACAGTATGGCTCACAGGTCAAATCCAACCTGTTGTCTGTACCTCAAGTTAAGAACATTTTTGTAATTTTACAGTGGTTAAAAGAACAGAAAGAATACCTTGTGACAGATGAGAAGTATATGAAACTCAAATTTCCATGTCCTTGAATAAAGTTTTACTGGAACACAGCCATGCTCATTTATTTATGTGTTATTTATGGCTACTTTCATGCTACTATGGCAGACTGTTTGTGACAGAATCCTCATGGCCTTTAAAGCCTAAAATATTACTTACCTGGAATGTCACAGAAAAAATCTACCAAAGGAAACAAAAGAATCAAAACCTCTTTAAACTAGCTAACAGAGAAATTGGCATGCTTGTAAAGATATCATTAACTTACTGGAAAACAATTCCACAAATCTTACTTGATCACCTCTTCAACTCCTATTTGTCCTTCAAGACTAGCATTTCTTGGGTGTGCCTAACCCAGTTCCACACGGGCAACGTCCATATAGACATTATCTCATAGCATCATTACTTCCCTAAGCTCCTTAAGAGCAGGAACTAGATTGCATTTATAACCCCAGCACCTAGGAGGGTTCCTTTCATATAGCACATGTTAAAAAAAAAATTGGAGAAAATATTTGCAAACAAAGCAACTGACAAAGGATTAATTGCCAAAATATATAAGCAGCTCAATATCAAAAAAACAAACAACACAATCCAAAAATGGGCAGAAGACCTAAACAGACATTTCTCCAAAGAAGATATACAGACTGCCAAAAAACACATGAAAGAATGCTCAACATCACTAATCATTAGAGAAATGCAAATCAAAACTACAGTGAGGTATCACCTCACACCTGTCAGAATGGCCATCATCAAAAAATCTACAAGCAATAAATGCTGGAGAGGGTGTGGAGAAAACGGAACCCTCTTGCACTGTTGGTGGAAATGTAAATCGATACAGCCACTATGGAGAACAGTATGGAGGTTCCTTAAAAAACTAAAAATAGAACTACCATATGACCCAGCAATCCCACTACTGGGCATATACCCCGAGAAAACCATAATTCAAAGAGTCATGTATCACAATGTTCATTGCAGCTCTATTTACAATAGCCAGGACATGGAAGCAACTTAAGTGTCCATCGACAGATGAATGGATAAAGAAGATGTGCACATATATACAATGGAATATTACTCAGCCATAAAAGGAAATGAAATTGAGCTATTTGTAGTGAGGTGGATGGACCTAGAGTCTGTCATACAGAGTGAAGTAAGTCAAAAAGAGAAAAACAAATACCGTAGGCTGACACATATATGTGGAATCTAAAAAAAAATAGTTCTGATGAACATAGGGGCAAGACAGGAATAAAGACACAGACGCAGAGAATGGACTTGAGGACACAGGGAGGAGGAAGGGTAAGCTGGGATGAAGTAAAAGAGTAGCATTGACATATATACACCACCAAATGTAAAATAGATAACTAGTGGGAAGCAGCTGCATGGCACAGGGAGATCAACTCAGTGCTTTGCGACCACCTAAAGGGGTGGGATAAGGAGAGTGCGAGGAAGAGGCAAGAGCGAGGGGATATGGGGATATACGTATGCATATAATTGATTCACTTTGTTATACAGTAGAAACGAACACAACACTGTAAAGCAATTATATTCCAATACAGACGTTAAAAAAATAAAGCTTGCTAAATAAATGAGATTTTAAAAAACAGCAAATGGAGACATTTAAGAATGAATCATATTTTAACAGTAGAAAGGATCAATAAAATGAAGACATGGGCTTCCCTGGTGGTGCAGTGGTTGAGATTCCACCTGCAGATGCAGGGGACGTGGGTTCATGCCCCGGTCTGGGAAGATCCCACATGCCGCGGAGCGGCTGGGCCCATGAGCCATGGCTGCTGAGCCTGCGCGTCCGGAGTCTGTGCTCCGCAACGGGAGAGGCCACAACAATGAGAGGCCCGCGTATCGCAAAAGAAAAAAAAAAAAAATGAAGACAGATGACATGAGTTCCAAAAAAAGAAGTCATCTGCAGATTACTTATAACAAGTATTTTGAAGAGTCAAGTACTATACCACTTAAATATGGAGTACTTAAAGTAATATTATTAGATTTCAAACTCTTCTTAAATTTAGAAATTGTGATTCTAAAATTTGTTTCAGATTAGACAAAGGTTAATCTGTATTTCAGCAAGTAGCAATAATGCGTGCCAGGTAGTAAGTTCATTTGCTCATTCAAAAAATACTTGAGGGCTTCCCTGGTGGCGCAGTGGTTAAGAATCTGCCTGCCAATTCAGGGGACACAGGCTCAAGCCCTGGTCCGGGAAGATCCCACATGCCGCGGAGCAACTAAGCCCGTTCGCCACAACTACTGAGCCTGGGTGTCACAACTACTGAAGCCTGCGCGGCTAGAGCCCATGCTCCGCAACAAGAGAAGCCACCGCAATGAGAAGCCTGCACACTACACGAAGAGTAGTCCCCGCTCGCTGCAACCAGAGAAAGCCCGCGCACAGCAACAAAGACCCAATGCAACCAAAAATAAATAAATAAAATAAATAAATTTATTAAAAAATAATTTGAGAGCCAGGCCCTCTGATTGATAGGTAGTAGGCCCTTGTGAGGCTAGATGGACACAGAGTAGGTATCAGGGCTTCCTAAGGTAGGAGGACCAAGGGCAATCCTCTGCACATTGGGTTAAGACTCCAAATGGCTCTACCCTCGGAGAAAGGGTAAACTAGAAGGATGGGCTCTTATAGGAACTCCAACTCAGCTTTGAACCATCTCAATCATTAAATTGGATTGAGATAATGCTGGTGCATAGAAGTATGGAAGAAGCATACATAGATCCTAGCCAGAGCAACATATGTTAAGGCTCTCGTAATTTCTACACACAAGCTCACAAATACAATGTCTAGTTCATATATATATACACACACACACACATACATATGTATATATATATACACACACATACATACAAACAAGTAGCCAGGTGCACCAAACTCATCAAGTTGTATGCATTAAATATGCATAGCTATTTGTATGCCAATAATCATACCTCAATAAAGTGGCTTAAAATTTTTTAAAAAACCAATTAAGTAACCAGGCGTACAAGGAAACAAGAGAACATTGCAGGGGGTGGGGGGAGGAGAAAGAGACAGTCCATAGGAGCTATAGAGATTGGAATTAATATCCATGGACTTTTAAAATACCATGCTAATTATGTGGGGAAAACAAGTGAAATTCTAGAACTAAAAAAATTAAGAACTTAATGGACGGGTTTTCATAATAGCACATTAGAAACAAAGAGATAAGAGATTTAGAAGACAGGTTAGAAGAAAATATCCTAAATAAAGTCCATAGAGACCAAAGAATAGAAAATATGTAAGATAGAGTGAAAGACAAAAAGGATTTAGTCAAAAGATCTAACATACATGTAATCAGATTTTCAGAAGGAAAGAAGATAAGCAGAATGCAGCAGAAATTTTTATTTGAAGATAATGGCTGAGAAATTTTCCAAATCAACAACAGATATCAAACAATGAATTTAAGATGCCCTACAAACCCCAAGCAGGTTGTCACACCTAGATAATAAGCACAGAAAATGTGTTTGATAAAGTCAACATCCAGTCATAACAAAATGTCTTGGCAAACTAGGAAAAGTAGAGAATTTCCTTAACTTGATAAAGGATAGCTAAAGAAATTTATACTAAATGTGAAATGTTGAAAGCTTTTGTTCCAAGATCAGGAATGAGAAAAGGATGTTTGTAGTCATCCCTTCTAGTCAATATATCCTGGAGGTCCTTGTCAATGCAAAGGAAAAGAAATGAGAGTAGAGCCACATTTCTACATCATATGCTATTAGAGCAGCAGGTCCCCAACCTTTTTGGCACCAGACACTGGTTTCATGGAAGACAATTTTTCCATGGACGGCGGCAGGGGGAGGTTCAGGCGGTCACGCGAGCGATGGGGAGTGGCAGATGAAGCTTTGCTCACTTGCCCACCACTCACCTCCTGCTGTGCAACCCCATTCCTAACAGACCGCCGACCAGTACCAGTGGTTAGGGACCCCTGTATTAGGGAATTGCAAATTAAACCAATGAGATACTACGTCACACCCATCAGAATAGCTAAAATCCAAAACTGACATCAAATGTTAGCAAGCATGTGAAGCAACTCCCATTCATTGTTGGTAGAAATGCAAAATGGTACAACCACTTTGGAAGACAATTTAGCAGTTTCTTACAAAGCTAAACATTGTCTTACCATATGATCCAGCAATCACATACCTAGGTATTTACCCAAACGAGGTGAAAATGTATGTTCATACAGAAACCTCCACACAAATGTTTACAGCAGCTTTATTCATAATTGCCAAAAGCTGGAAGCAATAAGATATCCTTCAATAGCTGACTGGATAAACACACTGTGATACATCTGCACAATGAAATACTAATTAGTGGTAAAAAGAAATAAGCTATCAAACCACAAAAAGACATGGAGAAACCTTTAATGCATATTGTTAAGTGAAAGAAGCCAGTCTGAAAAGGCTACATTCTGTATGATTCCAACCATACAACATTCTGGAAAAGGCAAAACTATATAAAGACAGTTAAAAAAAAAAAAAATCGGTGGTTGCCAGGGGTTCAGGGGTAAGAGGGGAGGGATGAATAAATGAAGTGCAGGGGATTTTTAGTCAATGAAACTATTTTATATGATACTGTAATCATAGATACATTACATTAATAATATTTTATAATAATGTGTTACTGCTGATTCATCAATTGCAACAAATATAGCATATTAATGCAAGATGTTAATAACAGGAAAACATGTTGGGGGGAATATGGGAACTCTGTACTTTCTGCTCAATGTTTCTGTAAACCTAAAACTCCTCTAAAATTAACATGTACTAATTTTTTTAAAGGACAAAAGATTTATTCCGCTTGTATATGTCTTCTTGAGTCAGTTTGGGTAGTCTGTGCATTTCTGGGAAGTTTTCCATTTTATCTACGTTATCTAATTTGGCATACACTTGTTCATATATTGCTTAATAGAGCTTTGTACTTCTGTGAAGTTGGAATTAATGTTCCCTCTTTCATTCATAATTTCAGTTATTTGGATCTTTCTCTCTCTCTCTTTTTTTCTCGTCAGTCTAGCTAATCTTTTCAAACCAACTTTTGGTTTTGTTGATTTTTTCAACTGTTTTTCTATTCTCTGTTTCATCAGTTTTCACTCTAGCCTTTATATTACTTTCCTTCTGCCTGCTTTGGGTTTATATATATTGTTATATATTTCTGATGGATGGACTTCTTCTTATTATAAAATGCCCTTATTTTCTCTAGCAACATTTTTTTGTTTGTTTTTAAAGTTTGTTTCATCTGATATTAGTCACTTAGCTTGTGGTTGCTGTTTGCATGGAAATCTTTTCCACTCATTTGCTTTTTAAAAAAATATTTTATTGAAGTATATTTGATTTACAATGTTGTGTTAATTTCTGCTGTACAGCCACATGATTCTATATACATATACATACATTCTCTTTCATATTCTTTTCCATTATGGTTTATTACAGGATACTGAATATAGTTCCCTGCACCATACAGTAGGACCTTGTTGCTTACCCATCCTATATATACTAGTTTGCATGTGCTAATCCCAGCCACTCAATCCTTCCCTCCCCACTCCCCCTTCCCCTTGGCAACCACAGCCTGTCTTCTCTATGTCTGTGAGTCTGTTTCTGTTTCATAGATTCCATCCATTTTCTTTTAACTGATTTGTATTTTTGAATCTAAAGTATGTCTCCCATAAGGCAGCATATAGCTTGATTTTGCTTTTTTATCCAGTCTAAAACCACAATGAAATATCACTACCTACCCACCAAAATGACTAAAATTAAAAAGACTGATAGGACTTCCCTGGTGGTGCAGTGGTTGAGAATCCGCCCGCCGATGCAGGGGACACGGATTCGAGCCCTGGTCCGGGAAGATCCCACACGCCACGGAGCAACTAAGCCCGTGCACCACAATTA